CCTCCACGGAAGAGCCCGCTGTACTTTCTATAAGTAGTTATTAAACTTGTCCTTACCAAATTTTTGTCACGAAGATGTTTTCCTCGAAATGTCCATATATCTTCAGATCAAAAAATCGTTGCGGACTTTCACATTTTCCATCTGGAATCGCAGAAAAGAGTAAACCTCTCTAGGGAAGCGCTGAGTTCTCTAAAGAAACCTGATCCAAGGCAGTAAAACTTTCACAAGGTTTTGGCGAGTTTGTGGATTGCCGATATGGAAATACTGTGGCGTGGTTGTCTTGGAAACTCAGGGAAGAGCCTCTTTAACCACCAAAACATTGTGAGAAAGTTTTCCAGGAACCAAATCATTGTTATAATACATGCTGTTCAAGTATTAAAGGATCTAAGTAAGTTGTTAAATAGCTTTTTGGTTTGAACTGAATTTTGTTTATGTTTTTCTGAACTCAGAGACTGCTGCAGCCGTCTTGTTTGTCTTCTATGTTTCTCCCTATTAATTTTTCTATGCATTGCTTATTTTTCGCTATCAATAAGGTGCTGTATATGTCATAATGAGGTTGTAGTGCATCACAACCTAGATGGTTACGCAGAAGGTGATGCTTCAAGTGGTATTCTGCATGACGAGCTGTTCTATTTTCCGTCGGCTTTTCCTTCTTTTGTCATGAATTCTTTAGTAGATATTTTCTAGATTCATGAAGGGTTCAGCTGAAGCGAAATATTAGTTGTAAAGTGATTAGGAAGGATAACGGAACAAGTTCTCGTTATGGTTGGCACTATTCGTGATTGTAATTCATTATCTTCTACGATACTATTAAATGAGAAGCCATTTTATCCAGTTTCTATCTAATGGTTACTTAAAAAACCCGCATTTTCATAATGTTAACGAGCTGCGTGAAGATTTCAGCGAATGCGCTGGAACCCGATTAAGATCACGGCTCAGAGTTTTGTTATGAGCCAAAGGTCGGCAATATTCCCAGTGTTTGTAATCGGGTTAATAGCCAAAATAACCGCTGTTAGAGTGATCCGAACACGATTGTTTTTAGTTCAAGTGGTCTATTCGAGTGATGGAAAAACCCGGAAATCAGCAGTTTTCTGGCTGTGGCTACGTTATCATGCGGATGTGAATGTAGCGATGATGATGTCGTCGTCGTCGACGAACTATATTATTGCATCCTCTCCACCTCCCCCTCACCCTAACCTTACCCGAGCTACTATTTGGCGTCTGCGTTCTCAGCAAATGTGAACGGCTATTGCATTTGTCGTCTATTACAGTGTTCTCCCATCAAAACGGCCATAAAATTATACCCTCAGTGGTTCTTTTCAGCAAAGACACTCGCTCGCTATGCGAACCCCGTTCTCTTGGCGTCGGTTTTTGTTAACGAACGCCCTGTCAAATTCCCGTTTCAAACCAGCCTTCAGTCGCATTAATTTTCATGTAAAATAATCATAAATGGGCATGTATATGTGCTGGCCGTCTTCAATGACGACTCCGATAATCTACACATATACACAAACACACACACACACAGACACACACAGACACACACACAGACACACACACACACACACACACACACATACACATACACGTGTTCATTCGCTCCACCCCTCCTACTTCAGCTTCTTTCCACAAACTATTTAAATATCTGAAATTCTTAACTGTCTCTCCCTTCCAGGAGCTTGCTCTCAAATATTTAATACCTTTCGAAGTGATCCTATCAGTCCTGTAATCAGAACGCTGGAAACTTAGCGAGTACATGTGGGGCAGATCTCAGAATTTATGGTTCACTATTTAGTCTAAGCGTTTTCGTTCACTATTTCTGTGCCGCATTTGGGATTGATTATCGATTTACCACAAGTAGACCATTTAGATAAAGCGGTTTTGTATAAAAATTTGCTACAGATGCTAAATTTATAACCCTATGCTATTTTATCTTTCCATTGAGCGTTAGAACTTTCAAAGGTTAGCTGGTTATGGATTGCAACTAATTTCACAAATCAAAGTGATCAATCATACCTGGTTTACATTTTATCTCTCGTATTAGTGAATCACTGTGTAAGATCGTTTTTTTTTTTCATTTCACATTCTAATAATCCTTTACAGGGCGCGTATGGCGCAGTGGTAGGAGGCGCCATGCAATACACACGTGAAATCGATCCCTGTGCCCATGACCTACCAAGCCTTCCATCCCTCCGTGGTCGGAAAATTGGTACCATATTTGTCTGGAAGGGTATCAGTAGTGGCCCGATACATCGGTAACCTACCGCGAGTTATTGTAAAGGCCAGATATGCATTCAATCACCTCCATACGATGCTCAATAAAGTCGAATGCACGACTCATCCTTCAGAGATTGATCAGTGCCGAGAGCTGTATCCTTTTTATTTTTATTAATAAGCCTTAAAGTATTTAGATAACTAAGAACTCTTCTTTAGTAAAGAGTGATAAGTGGTGTGTCTAAAACAGTAGAGCTTGAATGCACCAAATTTAAACAAATCTGAACTATGCCATTTATCGAAGACATTAGGAGATTTATAACACTAAAACATGACCCAATAATTTAATTCAGCGTTTTTAGTTTCTGAAAACTAGCTGGTAGTGCCCTCATGGAGATGAACTTATCGCGCGCAACCGGAACTCCTAACTTTATCAGAAGCCGAAGTAGCCGACAACGATAGCGCTTTCTTGAACGAAATTACTTAGCTCAATCATTTTTATTTACTAAGTGTCCACTCGTTTGTACTGTTCGTATCTTCCATTCAGTAATTTCTTTCTCATTAGTTCGAAACACCTCCTTGGTTTTTCAGTCGCTTTTCGTTTCTCCAGATACCACCGCTTTTTTTACAGGAAATTGAAAAAAGGTGTAACGTGCTCTTGTTCGCCTCAGGTTTTCTTGTTTTCCATTCACTCTGTGCTAACACGTATTCGTTTCATGCTACCTTCAAGAACTAGCAAATCAGCGAGTTCCTTCTTCTTCTATAACAATGATGAAGAATGGTGTGATACAGTGTATGTGACCACCATAAGTGTAGAAGAAGATGAATGAGTCACTGAATGAAAGAATGAGTGAATGAGTGAATCGACAAAGTACTAAATTTGAAGCCACTTACCTCGTATGAAAGTCGAAATAAACGAAGGTAAATGGACTGAATAATGACCAGCGCTACATGGAGAAAGTGCTGTTGGTGTTCCAACGAATTCTGGTAGATGTTTCGACATTTCTGTTTCTTGCCAGTACGGACAACTGATATGTCTGCGCATATGGCCTACTAGCCTACTACTATTAGCCTACTCACTAAATCGGTCTACTTCATGCTCCTTGCTAATCGGTTGGATTGGCCTTCAATCATTCAATCTTTTAAGCAGTATAGATCTCTGCCGTACACAGTTTCTATTTATGGACCAATTTTTCCCAGGTTTACTTAACACAGCTGCCTTATATCTCAAGTCAACAAAGTGCTCTGAAATTGTGATTATTGACTTTAACATATTGGAACCTCTGGGTAGATTTTCTATTTCTGCTCTGTTTGGTTGATTTGTACTTTTCGTAGACCCAATACCGCTCATGCCTGTTTGCTTGGGTATGCTTGGCTAAATTCCGATTATGTCCTGTTCGTTAGTTCGGCCAAAACTGTCTAATCAAGTAAGTGTAAAGTTGATATATAATGACTGCTTCAGGGTCGTGTTTCCAGAATATCTCCGCGAGAAAAGCCGTTGAAGTTACCTATGAGTATGTGTGTTTCTTAGCAGCGAGTTTGGACACTGATCGGTATCTTTTCAAAAAGAATGGAAGTAGTGGGCTTCAAACCAAAATTTTGATTCTTTCCGTGTTTCTTGAGATTTCAGAGATGATTTGGGCACTCGATTACACCGCATAGAAACAGATACTTCACTGCTACCTTCTCGAGTCACTAAATGGCTAATGAGTTTAGAAATGGTATTGGTGGGTAGTTCCTTAGTTATCCACGTTGTGTAGTGGTTGACGACCTCATGTGAAATGGAATAGCTATTTGTAACGCTTTATTCTTAATGTTAGCATTTTATATACTACCAATTATAAATTTTCAAGGCAGGGTAATATTTGTAAAAGAACCACAATGATGCTGAGATATTAGCAAAACTCCGGACCACGGGTGTCTGCTGCGGTGAACGAACGCGCTACTACGCTTTCCGGAGGCTAACGCGTTCGCCACCACACCATGTGGGTCCTTCGTTTCATTTGAGGTTGCTCATGGAATCGCTCTTAACATTTGCTCATGTAGTCAGAAGACAGAATTCTCCAAAAATCGATAGATTAGGAGGGACAGTTTGTTGACGTTTGGGTTTTGGAATTTGTTGAAAATATTTTACGATTTATGGAATTGAAAGGGGTCGAACTTCTTTTCAAGTTGAGGTTATGCACAAAAGTTTGGAGTGTGGAACTCTCGATATAGAGTGCTGAATTTCTTCGTCCTCATTTCGATCGGTTTTTCATTCGTTTCCATCGTTTTTGCTTACCTGTCGGCATTGTTCACTGCGTTTAGAATAGAGGGAACGGTCATTATACTGAGATGACGTCTGCCATATACTTCAATTAACAACAATGAACTACTCAGTACGAACTCTTTACAACTTTATCACTGTTTTTTCTTAACAATGTTTGTTAAGAAAGTTTTCTGGACAATGATTCATGTTCTCGGTGCTATCTGAAAACTAGAATGACTCGTAGCTGAGAATGATTCAGTACTGGGGCTTCATCCTCAACATCTTATACTTCAATCTACAGAAGAGGTTGTTGATGAAGATGAGGCAACGTTTCTTTGTGCTTTAACTTTTTGGTATTGACTACTATTCACCCTATCGAAGCCAATTTGTACATTTCTGAGTGTGACTGGTGTTTTATCGCATGTGGGATATCTCGTCTCTACTCTATATTAAGAATCTGGTTTCGCTCTCTCTTCCCACATACACACATATACAAACTGCCTAACAAACATTATATTTGTCATTACTAACGAGTAGCATGCACATAAACACGCACATCCACTTACATATACCAGACCATCCAGACTACATATTTGGTTGGGACGTGCTGATTCCATCCGTCGCTCATGTTATCCTTGAAGGATCATCATCATCACTTGGCATGACTGTCAAGCTCTTCGCCTACCCGTTTACATGGTTATCGCTCTCATCGTCTCGCTTCAACAAAGAAGTACTACGTATATTCTAAGATTCGGAAATTCTCAACAAACTGTAATCAGTGATTATCAATCTCTTATCGAGCCTCTCTTGAGTCGTATTCCACACTTCTCTTGTTTAAATGTCAAGTATTCTAATATTCGTTAATCCATGTGGGAAGAACATCTGTTATCTCTTGACCTTTCGTGTTTTCTGTATGGCTTCTCCACTGAGAGTTAAAAGTGAGAATTTTCCTAGAACTGAGCTGTTAGAGAGGATAGTTTTTTCTGCAAATCTTTCAAATGTTTCGTCCGGTCACCCATCGATTATTCAATCATTCATGGTTTTCATTGTTGAATTGTCAAGGATTTCAATTTAGTATTTGCTGTCCTAGGTAGGTCGGTGTTCGCTTATTACTTAGGACGCCAACAATCGTTTTCCGATTTCTAAAACATTGAAATAATTGTATTATATTTTTGTATATACGAAATTCAAGAGTTTACTTGGTACAGATAGGTTCATGAAAAGCTGACGAAGTTTCTCTGCAGAAGGTGGATTGCCGTTTCGTGTTAACTCTATTCTCAAAGCTAAATTTGATAGACTCAAACTTCTGCTTTTCGTGAATCTGGTCTTGCGTGCTGAAAAAACAAGAGGACAAGAGATAGAGGGAAGAGGACGGAGAAAAAGACCGAAAAAAGGAAAATCAGATGGAGACAGGATAATGAAGGAAGGATAAAAGAGAGCGAGCGAGAGAGAGAGAAAGAGAGGTGACTGTGGACAAGTAAAGTTCGTCGCGGACATTTTTCTTACGGTATTTTTGGCATTTTGGACAATAGTTGAGGCGGAGAATTTCGTCTGTTTTCGAAAACAATGGAAATATGTCGAATAGGACAATACACACTGCTGATTAGGTGCTGAAACAGTTCTTTCAATAACCACCGTTGACTAGTTTGAAGTACTTTTTGCCATTTCATTTTCAACACTTCCCCTAACAAATCGGAACCACGATTTATTCTTTCGTAAAAGAACATCTTTGAGTAGATATGATGCTATTCTACTGAAATCTCCAAAGAGACCAGTCGATTTCCAGTTCAGCATTCTTGAACGATTAGATGACCTTAAGCATTGTAATAAATCCTTGCTGGATTTATCTACATTTCTCTCACATTTCCCCGATTCCCATCGCTCATAGCTATTACTGTTAATTTTTCTTTTATATCTAATCGTTCAATTTTAGGAATGACATCATTACTTGGAGGAAACAGCATACTCCACATAGCAAATCGATTAGGTGGACTCAAAAAGGAAATGCCAAATGAAGGTCACCGATTTTTCCAAGTCACTTTAGTGAACGATTCGTTTTAAGTGGTAACGTTGAATAGTAGCAAAGAGAAGAAAGAAAAATCTGATAAAATGGACGATTCCTACGACATAAAGAAAAACCAGTAGAACCTATAGGTTACACCCAACGTAATAGTGTTTACGAAACACTAGTGGGACGAGTGGTGGTGAATAGCGCTGTGAAGGTGTCTTCGATGTTAACTTGAGTCCAGCTTAGCACCTTACTTATTAAGAAGGCTTCAAATCGACGTATCGATTTGTTTCATGGTCTTTCTATCTGCACTCTATGTAATTTTGAGGCTTATTGTTTATTCAAAATCAATCTAAATTTAGTAACTGTGATATTCTCCATCAAAATGGAATCTTGATTTTAAATAAATTTGTCTCACCACTGTGAGAGGGGCGATATTCCTTTACATTGTTTTATATTGCTGAGTTAATACGGGATTGGTATAAAAAGTATTTATTCGGCTAAGGTTTCGGCGTATTCGCCTTCATCAAAGCCGAATTGGTCCGAGTCAATGATCCATAGTTGGTTATCCACTCGTGTTGTGGACGTTTGTTGTTGTGTCGAGTCGAAACTAGTGAAATGGAGCCCCGGATATATTTTTGATACTTTCGAATTGATTTTGTTTCTGGGAGAATTTGGGAGAGCTGTGCTGCAGCGATCTAGACATGTGGTAACTCGAAAAGACCAAGTCGAGTCAGCGCTGTTATACGATGAATGGAGCAGGATCTCAGTCCAAGTCCAGCAATTTTTCGCAAGTTGATCTCATATTGTGTTTTTGAGCGTCGACTTCCTTTTTTCTTTTTCCGCAGGGTAATTTCGTTCCGTATGTTACCTCGAACTCTCACTATCGGTTGTGGTAATAATACTTCAGGTGAGAACTCCCGATATTTTACTGGACACTAACCACCGTACCTAGAACGTTAGATTCTTCCGGAGACAATCCAACTTCACGATGATCAGCGTTTTCAGTGAAGGTCATAACCGCTGGTGGTCGCTGGTGAATTTGGAGCTCTATGCTCACTTATGGTTTCTACTGGTGACGATTCTCCCTCATTTCTTCTTTCATACACGTGAGAGGATTTGTGCGTTCTTTGAGCGAACACTAGATAAGACAGCTCCTACCCAAACTTCATAACTTCACGGAGTGAATAAAATTCGTATTCGAAACAAATATGGGAAATGCCATTCCTCTCCGCCAATTGGTGCACACTCAAATGAATGTCGGTGATGAAGTATTAGTTGAGCGCGTCTAAATTCTATTCATTGGGGTATGTGTGCAAAGCGGGTCTGTTGTCCAAGTTGATGCCTCGTCGTGGATGCAGACAAATCAGTTTCTAATGATCGTTGAGGAAATGATACCACCAATTGTAGCGATGTTTTTCGACAGCTGAGTGACAACTGGGAAAAGTGCAGCATCGAGTATCGCCGGTGTTCGCCAGCTTATTTATAACGCTTAGAGTGCCTTTCCCATTCAGCTAAAAGTGGATGCTATCACAAAGCCATGTAAGAGTAATGTTTGGGCAATGAAAATCGAAAACAAAAAAAACTGTTGTGTTTTTGCAAGGTGGATTTATTGTCGAATTTGTTTATCTTTCAACATCTCTAATGAAGGAAGCAACAAATATTTGACGGGACAATCCTGTTATCGAAGTAGAACGCATTTTTAAGCGGCAGTATGTTGCGGAAATCACATTCACCGTTTAAATAGTGTGTTCGAGACTTTCATGCATAATGGTCTTCCTAGTAGGTTCGATTTCGTACCTCGCTAACCAATTTCCATCCCTATTGGTTCGGTTAATTTAGTATCAGACTGGTCTAAGGTCAGTTGGGTCTATTCAATTCAAAAAAGTTGGCGACTACCGATGATGAAGATCTGGAAACGTTTTAGCACGGGTATCCCAGAATAGTAGGAGGAATCCACTTGACCAGCATTCGACGACATTCATAAAGCAGGCCAAAAATCTCAGGAAACAGCTGAATTCACCACCAAAAATTTTGACGACTTTTGTGGAATAGACGTGTGGGGAAACGAATCGTAAGCAAGTAGTGCTGGGACCCGCACTATGTGACATAGGGTCATGTAAAATAATATAAACGCTTTTGCTTTTTTATTATGCAATATTTTACTAAGCTCAGTAGTAAAGAAAAAACAAAGATGATTCAGGAGTTGTGAAACATGTATCTCCAATAGGCTTGCTCCGTATATGGATGCATAGAACGGACTTTCGGTGTCTGAGTCCATCATCATGAGAGTTTGACATTATCTCTTGAGGATAAGTGATCTTTTTCAGACATGAAAAAACTCTACCAACTAGATCGTCGATTGATCCATGCAAATTATTTTATAGAACATGTCTTCGTTTTTTATTTAAGTGGGCTTAATATAAGTTGAACACGAACGTGTGCAAGTTTTTAATGAGGTATTGGACATCGGTGAACTTCTTATCCGTTTACCCTTCGTTAAATCGCTTATACGATTGTAATGTGATAGAGGCGGTCCGAAACGCTGAAGTGCGGCGCGCTTTTACTCGATTACCCATCACACTGGACAAGATCGTTCACGAAAAAACCGCGCACCAATTAGAAATTGTCGGAGAGGAGGCAAAAATTCGAAATGCACAGAGAAAAGATCTTCAAAAGAGGATCTTCACAACCATGACCTTCTTAGACGAGATGTTTTTAATAGTGTGATTTATGTGCGATCGTCGTTTTTATTCAAAAACAGCGATTATTCGCAAAAGTTTCGGCCACCACTTATTTTTTATCCATTTGTACGATATTGCTTCCTTTGAAGTTTATTTAGACGGTAAAAACCGAGTGCGTGCGAAAAACTGCACCTGTCGATCTTATAGTTTTATTAATAAAGCATGTAGCGCGGTGGTTAGAAGTGCCGTGCAATAATCATATAGTCTTTGTTTCGATCTCTTATTCCCAAGCAGACTAAGCCCTAAACCATCTATATATCAGTGATCGATATTTTGACGCCAGACTTCTCTGAGAGGATAAAAGTACTGATTTGACATCTTAACTGCGAACACCTACATAGCGAGTACGACTGACTGTGAACAATCAATCGGCTTGGATCATTGAGGCTCTGAAGAAGGCGAAGGCGCCGAAATGTAGGACGAATAAGTAATTTTTATACTAACCCTGTAGTAGTTGTTACTTTGCTAGACTCTTGTAAGTCATTTCATGGGTTAAATTTGCATTCGGTCACCTCTTCAACGTTCAATTCACGGCGCATCCCTTAAAGGAGTTCATCAACGCTGAACGCTTTGTTTCCCATACTTCGTATCGTCTAATTAATAAATATGAGTCATTTGTTTCACTCAGATATTTTCTCCTACTTGTAACCTACATCGTAATAATTTTGGTTGACTCTTTTATTATAGCTGTTAGTTTTAACGGCATTGTAAGGAAGTGATCGCTGAGTTCTTCACTCGTTGCTCGCACTCGTTGCTTACTGCTTACAACATAACTAAAATTGATACCACTTTTCGTTGCTTTACACTGTTGATAAACGACTAACGAACGTGTCACCACTGATGTTAGGGTTTCAGTTAATGCATTGTTATTTTGAGATGTTCGATTAGTTTTTGCATGTTTTGCCGTTTAGACGTGGTATCCCGTTTCAGGCTTGGATCCGGAAGGAACACCATCGCCGACACCGTCGGTAGTGGTACGACAAGTCACACCGTTATCTGAAACGATAGCTTTTTCGGAAATCGCCGTCACTGAAAGTCCTTTACCGTCCCTATCTATGCCACCACTACCGCCGCGCAACGACGAGTCCAATGTGGTCATGTCGTTGTTCAAGGACAAGGAAACAGTAAGTCGATGTTTTCTTCGTTAGCGGAATCCGTAAATGTTCCCTAAACGAAAAATATAAGACGGCTTAGAAGATGAGTCCATTTTTAGCTCTAACGTTATAAGTTGTGGGAATTATGATTCATTGTCATTGTAGAGATCAAGTGAAACACTTGGTTCTCTTCTAGTTGGTTTCCAATCTTAATGAGTTTTTCAGAACATGTTCTCATCGATCGCTGTAGCTGAAACTTTGGCCAGATAAAGTTGTTCGCATAAATGTGTGGTCGTTAGTCGTAAGATCGGTAGTGTTTTTAAGGAGCTTGAACAATTCATATTCAGATAACGCTAGCTAAGGGTCACGCATAGACTGAGGTTATCAGAAGCAATATTTGGCTCGTACGGGTTGTAAAATAGCTTAATTACATAGTGGGGTGTGGAAAAACGTGTAATCCATGCAATAAAATCTATTTGATAATTGCCGATGCCTAATTATTATTGTGGGAAAAAAACGGAGTGGAATCTATAGTATAGCCCCTTTCTAAAAATGCTTTTTTTGCTTCTACGTTTACGATTCCGTGTATTTTATCGCAAACCGGTTGCTTGTAAACTTGATTTGGGATATTAGAGTTGTACAATTGCCACGATACGCTAGCGGCCAGCAGAGCGGGAACGAAATTTGCTTGTATTTGAATGACTACGTATAGGTCGAACGTTCATTCCAACAGCAGTCTTTGAAGATGAAAAGAAGTGCGATACTTCTACCCAGAAGCCCAGCTAAGATTTTACCAGGGTCGAGAATCATCGACATCCTGATAGCAGTTTTTTTGGCTCTTTGAATAGAATCAATTCTGTGCGTCAGTCTTGCACTTTTAGTTCACAACTTCGCCGTCGACTTCAGAATCAGCTACGTCTGGCGGTGGTGGCGACACAACGACACTCGTCTCCACACCCATGGATCTCAATGCGGCCATTTCACATATTCAACAACAAATAAACGTCGCCCAATCGCAACATGTTCAGAATGATGCCAAAGGTACTGTTAATTCTCCAAAAATATGTACGTCGAAGGAAAGAATTGTTCCACAAATCTCTGCTTTGTTCCGTCTTTTCATGAAATTCCTGTGGAACATCAGTGTCCTGTTGGATTGGTACGCTAAAATAAACTTGTTACAAAACTTCATTGGGGCCAATGCTTCGTCGTCTTCGCCTTCTTCGGACTGCAGTAGTTCGAGTCAGGTGTTGAAAGGAGTTGTTTTTTGTGATTTTGGTCTTCATAGTGGAATTGGAGTCGAATTTTGTCATCGCAATAAGTCACCAGAGATGCTCCATAAACATTTAATCAAACTGCTTGCGGTCTCTCACCCTGTTTGATTCGAGATTCCTCGGAACATTCAAGAGCAGCAGACCTTAGATATTGCCCGTGAGTGTTGTACACCTTTTCTCGGTCTTCATACGTTTTGTTGTCTAATAGATTTTCAAGCTTCTAGGAGAAGGTTACGTGCTCATTAACTAGTCTGTCTTTTTTCGCAATTCCTCCCTTGCTTGTTTTTGCAATGAATGTTGAGGCTAATGGTGCTTTTGTTTAGTTCTGTTTTGCAAGTGCCAGAATCTTTGTATTACCCGTATCACCTGTAACTCTGTTAATCATCGAACTCGAGCAGGCACTAATGAATTCTGTTTACTTCGTTGTGTGCCAAAGCACTTAAGGGTTTGGAAGAGCATCAGATAACATAACCGCCACCATCGATTTTTTTTTATATCACCTGTATCACCTGTAGTCCCGTTGATCTTCGAGTGACTCGAGCGGGCATCAGTAAATCTTCCATTTTTCCCTGTCGCGTTCAAGAGTAGCCCAGTGGGTTCTGCTCGCTCTAGGGACTCGCCGAGCATCATATCTTTCTTCAAGGCTCTTTGTGAAGAACTCTGATCGACTGTTTGGCGTATAGAACGGCATTTTTGATTTTTGACTGTTAACGCAGATCGGAACTTCGGATCCCATCCCTTACTTGTGTGGAACGGGATACTCCTAATATCATCCTTTCGACTGCGCGTTCGATAATACTAAGTGATCTTTCATCGTGCTTACGCAGCGACCAGGTTTCTGACGCATACGTTACGGCAGGAAGTACCGTTGAGTGGAAAAGGTGGGCACGGAGTCGGGTGTTCTTTGTTCTCTTCACTACATCCTCGATGCTCTTGAAAGCTCCCCAAGCTGCTCGTTTCCTTCTGCTCAGCTCTGGAGCTAGGTCGTTCATTATAGTGATTTCCCGACCTAGATAGATATAACTGGAGCTTTCGGAGATATACGTTCCGTTGAACGTGAATGGGACATGCGAATCCAACCCGTTCTTCATGAACATCGTTTTTGTGAGGTTTAGTCGAAGACTAATCTTTCCACAAGCTTTGTCAAAGTCGGCAAGCATACATTCCTCTTGGCTAATGTTTGGTGTTATAAGGACGATGTCATCAGCAAAGCGAAGTTGGTGTAACTACCGACTATCGATTTTCACTGCCATATTATCCCATTCTAATGTTCGCATGACTTTCTGGAGGGTGGCGGTAAATAATTTTGGTGATATGATATCGCCTTGCCTAACTCCTCTCTTGACATCAATGTTAATATCGTTGTAGAATGGTGATACCTTGGTTGTGAAATTTTTGTACAGTTCACGAAGCATCTCTGTGTACTGATTAGGGACTCCCTGACTATCATGGGCTTTCAAGACTGCTTCTATCTCAGCTGAATCAAAGGCCTTCTGTAAATTGATGAAAGTGGGACAGAGCGGTCTTTTGTACTCTCGCGATACTTCAATAAGCCGTGTTACCGTGTGGATGTGGTCCATCGTACTAAATCCTCTTCGAAACCCTGCTTGCTCACATGGCTGTCCTTCGTTTAGTGTTCTGTTAATCCTGTTTAGGATGACTCGAGTGAAAGTTTGTAGACGACAGACAGTAAGCAGATTGGGCGATAGTTGCTGATATCGTGCAGGTCACCCTTCTTGAACAATAACACGATCTCTTCCACTGAGTAGGGACCTTGAATTCAAACAAGTAACGTGTGAAAAGCCGAACCAGTGTGTTTACGAGGACTGGCGGAAGGTTCATCAGGTGTTCTGGTCTTATCCTGTCCGGACCTGGTGCTGTTCGATTTTTCACCGACGAAATGGCATGTCGGGTTTTGGAAGAGAGAGAGCAGGTGGTACAACATATCCATCCTCCTTTATTTCATATGGTATTTTTTTTCATTTTTTTCCCTTCACTTCATTTTTTGGTATAGCTACTTTTATTCTTACTTGTCTCTCACAAGATAGTCATAGGTTGTTCCTCAGTCTCTGCAACGCCGTAGGTTTGAAGATAGCTGAGCTTTGAGACAGAAGCCTCGAACTCCTTAGTTTTGTAGACCCTTTTGTCAGGATGAACCCACATGGTATCTCACTGATCAAATGCCTCTTTGTTCTCCAAACTTATCCATTCCTATCAAGCACAATGGTCGAAATTCAATTGGAAATGACGCAGACCATCCAGGGTTCATCGTAGGTGAACTGCGGATTAGAATTCAAGAAAAGGCGGAGAATCACCTACGTTTGATGAGAATTTAAACGGCACTCATCTTCGAACGGCTAATGGGGTTGTAAATTCTCTCATCAAATGAAACCTTACAAGCAGCATATACAATTTATGTTAGATCTGCTGCCTGGCTACTCGCCGTGGATGAGAAACGCTGGAAGAAAAAAATCGCACCCAGTATGGGAGTTTTTCAAGGATCTCAAGGATACGAGTGAGTACTTTACTTTTGCCATGTGTATTTTTGATCATTCAAACTACGTAAGAGCGATGAAGTTATATTAAATCGGGATTGTAGACTGTCAGTTTTGATGATTATTATAGGAAATAGAAGTAAAAAACAAAGTCAGTATGCTCACTACGAAGCGGTAAAATTATGAAAAATCGACAAATTGACGACGCGACGACACTTTGATTTTCGCCGCCCGCCCTTGCATTAGAAAATTTCATTAAATGATATTCTGTAATGTGTTAAGCATAGTAGGGGCGTGTGGCCCAGCGGTCGGAGGCATTTTGCAGCGCACATACATGGGATCGATTCCCTCGCCCGTGGCTCACCAAGCCTTCCATCCCTCCAGGATCGGCAAATTGGTACCAGATTTGTCTGGGAGGATAGCGCACTGGCTCGATACATCGGTAGGCTACCGCCAGTCACCGTAAAGACTAGATATGCATTCAGTCACCTCCAACTATGGTCAATGAAGTCGAATTCATGGCGCATCTCTCAGGGATTGATCAACGCCGAAAGCTTTATCGTTTTTTAAACTTAAATGCACATGTTTTTACGTTACCATAATGTTTAGTCGGTTGGTCACTCTTCTGGTTCATCAACACCACAATGCTGATAATTTGACACAACGTATAATGGTGTTCCTGCTGAATTCTATGGCTAGTGGAGTCGAATGCATGGTGCATCCTTCATGGATTGATCAACGCCGGGAGCTTTTTTCCTTTTTTTATTTTATTAGGCATAATGAATAAGTATTCACGGGCTACATATGGCATAACATCTCCGTTGTATAGGCTATGGATTGTGTTCAAAAATTGCAGCAAACAAACGTTTTGTGACAAAATAGACGGCCGAAGATTCTACGTGTTGAGACCAACACATCCAGTCGCCTTTATGTTAAAGATGTTCCTTAAGGGCACTACTTTTTTGACTTGGATATCTACATCGTGATCTAGTGTGGACAGTAAAGAAGGTTATGATTAAGCCCGAAGGAATAACATAGTCTTTATGCTGTGCAAGGTGACCGGAAAGTAACTCTCTACTTAAAGGTGCTAATAATTTCCCTATATATCATAATATTTTTCTCAATTTATTTATTTATGCTTCTTAATTTTTATGCAGTATGACACAGCTCCACATTTTGTTAGTGTAGTTCGGTAAACGGCTGAATGAAATTCCAAAGGAAATAGATGGGTCGTCGTGGTCCGTATGAGTATCCCGCCAGAAGCCCTTACCTAACGCTTTGCGACTTTTTTCTTTTTACTTGGTTAAAGGAGCAAGTTTATCAAGTCAATAACTTTGAAGGAACTTGACGGGCGAATGTGACATACTATGCATTCTATTCAGTGAAAGTTCTTCTGGAATCAGTTAATCCAGTTCCACGGCGCATTGGTAAGAAAGGTGGCGAATTCATGTGCTCATGGCGAATTTTAAATATAACTCCATGCCGTACGTCTTCTTTTGTATCCATGCCTTATAAAAATTTCAGTTAAGAACCAAGTTATAAGAATTTTAAAATAGTAGGTTTTCAACTACGCTCTACATTCCGGCATAATCAACTCACTGGTATTCCTCCACAGTTTGGCGTGTACTATCACACAGTGAACGACCTGTGGATCAAAATAGTTTCAACGAGTGTGACTAACTTAATTAGTAGCTCATTCTAAACCACAGTACAATTTTTTAGATGTGCGTTGTTACAAAATGGCTTTGAAGTTATTTTGTTATTTTTCATTTTATTTGGTCCGTCTTCACGTACACCGTGCGGATCCCAGGACTTCCCACATTCGATTATTTTCCTTGCATCTATTGTCCACAAGGATCTTCCGACTTTACGTGTGGCTTGGGTTGCTGGTTGAGGATTTCCATTTCATCTTGAATGTAGAATGCTGGTCGGGTAATTCTCCCTAGAGTTCTGAGATAGCCAGGCCGGAGGGTACACAACTGGATTGTAGAGACTGACTTTTTTTTCCTAGACAAAATACCGATTTCATGACCACCCGGAGGGTTAGGGGCTTGGTCGGCCCGAAGCGGAATCGAACTAGCACCATGCTCGTGATAACGGACATTAATACCACTCTGCTACCCGCCCGTGGATTTTAGGTGAGAACAGCAATAGTGAGTGAAGTCACGTTTACATATCTACATTTTATCTGTGCCGTCGCATCGCCGAGTTTTCGCTGTGTACTTTAAAGGTAATAAGGAATCTCTGTTTCGTCTACAAGTTAGATATACGGCGA